CTGGGCCAGCTTGGAGTCCACCTCCTGCAGGAAGTCTGGGAAGGGGGTGGGGATTGTTGGCTCCTATCTTGGTCTGGTGTTCCCCCCAGGACATCACCTCACCCTGGTCTCCAGCTCCATTCTCACAGGGGTCTGCCTGAATATGCCTTGACCCAAACAATGGGCATAATGGCTGGGAGAAACTGATTGAACAGTACTGGGGGAGGGAATAAGACGCTTCATTCTTTCTCTCTAGACTGGTGACCAAAAATGTCCTGAATCCAAAAATATTGCTAGGTCATATTCCTTAGTGCTCCCTGTATGATGAGCACTGCCCAGCCTGAGGGCACCCTGAGGGGAACCCTTTCCATCTGTAGATCCTATCCTCCTCCAGGACCTCGGGGCCCTGTGCCTGGCACACACCAGTGTTCAGTAATTGGCAGTTTCACAGCAAAATTATTACCATCGGTGCTGTGGGTCTCCTGGGGCACATGTTCAGAACTGGCAGAATTGCTGGGCCCTAGGAGAGGTGTGCCTTCTACTTGACTAGGTAATGCTGAAGTGAGTGCTAACTATGTGTCAGGCACTCTGGTTTTTTTGTGTGTGTGTGGGGGCTATAAAACTATACTTTTATTCACTAATTTTCAACATGCCAGTTCAGAGTAAAATATCTGCAGTTCCAGGACTTTTTTTGCAGTTATATATTTAAAATTTTTTAATTACAAAAACTTGATTTTATCCTAGAAAATTCAGCGCTCCTGAGTTGGATCATCACAATATGGCACATTTTCTATAAGGTCTTTCCTAGGGACCAATTTCAGTGTATTGTAGTCAGTGTGAATACCTTGTATAACAGATGTTCTAAGCAACAATTCCACACCAGAATCTATTTTTTTATTAACTCTTCTATTTTCTTAGGAGAAGCTTCATTTTTATTACTTTTGAATTCATTTATTCTGGCTGCTTCTTATGCTCTGGTATCATTTTTATTATTATTATTTTTTTATCCTCACCCGAGGACATTTTTTCCATTTTTTGTTCAGGTAGAGTGGGAGGGAGAGAGAGGAACAGAGAGAGAGAGAAACATCGATGCGAAAGGAACACATCAAGTGGCTGCCACCCGCACAACCGACCAGGGCCGGGGACAAACTGCAACCGAGATACATGCCCTTAGCGGGAACCGAACCCCAGTCTCTCAGGACCGCAGGCCGACGCTCTAACCGCTGAGCCAAACCGGCCAGGGCTCTGGTATCATTTTTAAAAACTTGTCTGGTCCTGTGCAGTTTTAAAGAGCTGTAAAACCCTGGCTGCCTGACCCATATCTGTCCTGACCGCAGCGGCTACCTCTCCAGCAGTTGAGTGGCCCCCAGGCACTGTTTTTATTAATTATTGTTATAGATGTCCCCCCCCCACACACACACACCCTCCTCTCTATCCCACTGGTTTGACTAATTTACACTCTCCCAGCAGTCTGAGTTCCCATTGCTCCTCATCCTCTTCAAGACCTGGAATTTTAACACTAAAATTGAAATCCAGTGGTGTTTTGATCCAGTGGTATGGAATGGTTTTCTGTGTATTCCCTTGATCACTAATGAGGTTCGGCCATTTGTATTTCTTCTTCTGCACAACACCGTTCATAACTTTGCCACCTCTCCCCAATCCTTCTTTTCACTTTTATCTTAATAAGCATTAGAGTTCATTGTGGCCTAGCCGGTGTGGCTCACTGGATTCAGCATCCTCCCATGGACTAGGTCCTGGTTCGATTCCCAGTCACAGCACATGCCTGGGCGGGGGCGCTGATTGATTTTTCTCTCTCTCCCTCTCTGGAAAAGCAATACAAATGTTTTTAAAAAGAATTCACTGTGGCTACTATGCCTTTGTTAGTTGTGTGTTGCAAATATCTCCTCCCAGTTTTATTACTTAATGGTATCTTTGATGAACTTTTTTTGGAGGGTCTAGTTTGAGAAATTTTTCCTTTTCTGTCTTTGAGGTAATCTCCTGTCTTTTCTTTTGAGAACTGAAACGGGGTGGAATTGCAGTGGCCTGGTGCTTTCTTCTCCCTGGGTTCTCTTCCTCTCTCCGCATTGCCTCCAGTCACTCCACCCTTCCACCGAATTCCCCAGACCCTGCTTCTCATCCCCCAGGGCTCTCCTGGACTAGCCCACTGAGATCTCCGTGGGACAGACCCCCAGTGTGTCACAGGAAGTTGTGAGGTGTGATGCTGAATATTGGTTATCAGTAATTAAAGTACTAAAGGAGTAGTCATTTCTTTCAAGATTTTAAAAAATCAGTGAGATTCAAGGCTGTCCCAATGTCACCCTCATTTCCTAGTACTTCAAAATGTCAGAGAGATCCCTACTTTACAACCAAAGGGTTGACACGGGTGAGGTACACGGTTTGGGTGGCGGAGGGCGGCAATTACAAACCCACCCAATGCTTTACTGCTGTCCTTTCGGTTTTGCCAAAACCAAGTTGGGCCCATAAATGTACTCATGGCAGGAAAAAAAGACAGCACTTTCAGTCTAGGCCTGAGTTCCAGGGGGTACTCCAGGTGTTCACATCCAGAATGTCTCCTGGTTCCAGATCACTCTTCTAGAAAAGCATTTTCTAAAAAAAACACATTGGCAGTGACCTGGGCTCAGAGAATGGAGCCCAAGTCCCTTAGCTTGGGATCCTCCCTGGCCTCCAGCTGCACCTTTCTCCACTTCTCCATTCCACCCACCTACCCTAGGGCTAGCCAGGTCCTGAATACCAGGTCTTTTGATATCACCAAGTTTCCACATATATGCATCAGTTCCTCTGCTGGAACCGCCCTTCCTCATGTCTTCAGTTGGCAAATCTCATCTTTCCAGCTTAAATGTCACCACCTCTGGGAAGGCTTCCAGATTCCCTAGTGAGCTGCACCAGCATCTATTGGCCCTTTGATAGTCTACTGTTCCAGTCATGCTGCCCCCTAAAAAAATTAATTCTTGTCTAGATAATCGTGTGTGCCTCTCAGACAAGACTGTGAGCTCCATATGCATGGGGAAAACTTATTAAGCAAGGGCTCAAAAAGGGCTTGTTAAATGGAGGCTAACCCCCAGGTCTGTGCCAGGACACTGATGTGACACCACTGGAATCAGTTTTGGTGACCAGACAATACCAGGGACACCCTTACAATCTAGACGAGAGGCTGAGTGAGCACTTAGGGGAAAGGATGGGTGAGCAGAGGAGGGGAAAAGGTTCAGGAGAAATCGGTGGATCAGAGTAGTAGTTCCCTCATTCCCTTTTTATTCTGGAGGCTGTCGCCTTTCTCCCAGTCCTGTCTAACGGAAGTCACCGAAAACACCCACCCACTTGTGTGAAGAGGTAGAGGTTTAATGAAATATAAACATTCAAGAACACATAGGATAGAAAATAACCACAACATATACAGACACTTGCTGCAAGAGGACGTCTGAGGTACTTATCCACCTCCTGGGCTACCCATGTGCTATCACATTTTTCCTGGTTAGAACACACACGATAGGGAGGGCGAGGGGACAGAGCTGCCCGGACTTTCAGGGTTCCTTTAGGCCTAGCACCCTGTTCTTGGGACACCTGCTGTTGTCCTGAGGTCAGCAAGGGTTCAGAGAAGGGGAGGCTGGGCAAGCTGCCTAAGGGAGCAAATCCAGTGACCGAAAAGAGTGCTGTCCCTGCGTCCTCTGGGTGGGAAGAGTCCATCCTTTGTGACCAAACACCTGAGAAAAACACACTGGCAAATGTCTGTGACACTTTCAAGTGGGCCCAGTGCCAGCCAACTGGGCTCCTCCCTGGCACCAGATCCCAGATGCCCTTCTCTGCCCATACCCTGCACTTGCCTGGTAGGTGAGGGGGGGAAGGCTTCTGAGGCCAGAAGAGGGTCGGCCCTGGCAGAGGCTGTGAGTGTGTGGAGGGCTGGGGAGGGAGAGGATGTGGCCCAGCAGAGCTGCAGCTCACTAAGCTGAGGCATGTTTTGTGCTCAAGTTCCGGAATTCCTTTCCTTTCCTAGACAGGACGGAATGTTAGCCAGGGTGGGCTTGAGCCAATATGGGCTCCCACAATCCGCCAGTCACAGTGGGTGGTGCCTACTGAACACTGCAGGGCAGATCGATTTCGAGGTGAACTTTGTGAGAGAATCAGCTCTTCCTTACAGCACAGGAGCCTGCCTGCTCCATCCCAAGGTCCAGGAGGTGGCAAAGTTCTCTCAGCATCTCATCCTCTAAGGCTTGTCCTGAGGTGGGAGTGTGAAGGGGAGACATCCTGTCCCCCCTGGAGAGCGGGGGAAGAGGCTGGGTCTAGCCCTGCTCTGGCAGGAAGCATGTCGTGGACCATCTTCAGAACTGGTGGGTTTCAGGACCCAACCTGTACGAGTGCGGCTTCTGTGCCACCTCCTTCCCTCTAGGGCCCCTGAGCCCTCTCTCCTGCTGGCCTCCCTGCCCTCTCACTGGGGTCTAGGAGGGGCCAGAGAGGCTGGGGTACCAAATCATGTTTGGCTTTGGGGTGATCTGCTCTCATATCTTTGGTGCTATAATAATAAAAATTTTAAAATAAAACATCAAGTCAGCAAAACACATGTAAAAAAGATTTCAGAGATGCAAATACTCCTGAAGAATCAAATATCAACAATTATAAATCTGAGGTATTTCAATGCACCTGACATCAGCAGGCTGGGGCTGAGATGGCCCCATGAGAAGAAGGGGGGCCAAGGGGCAAGTGGGCTGTTCTTGGGACAGCTGGCCAACAAGGGCCAGTGGGCAGCGTGAGGTCTGAGAGGGTCAGAAAAGGGTCAGTGTGAAGTGGGTGCTAGGATCTGCCTGGGCAGCCCCTTGAGGCTCTGCCTCTTCCTCAGCAGATGCCCATTAGGCCCTGGGACCTGAGGACTGTCCTCATGTGCCCTTTTTCTTGGGACCATTACAAGGGGAATAAATTTAAGACTTGAATTTGAGGGACCCACACCCCAGGAACCAACATGGTAGACAAGGAAGGTCCCATCTCAAGCTCAGCAGAGTAGGACGTTGAAGGCAAGCTCTTGGCTCCTAGCAGACCCACAGGGTTATATATAGATTGGGGCACTGAGCAGGGGAAGAGACCAGTGACCCTGGGGTCATGGCAGAAAGCAGGGGAAGGAAAATAAATTAAAGGGGAAGGGATATGGAGGGCCTCTTGCCCTGTGTCGGCTAACAGATTGTCAGTACACTGTGCCCAGGATGGGAGGTGGCCTGGGAATGCCCAGGAAGCTGGCTGCCCACAGACTCCACCCATTTCTCCAGGACAATCCCTGATTGGACAACACTGCCCTGTCCTGCCCTCCAGCCTCTCCCTGTCCCCAGAGTACAGCAGGACCTGAATGGAGCTTGGATAGGTGGACATGTCCAAACTCTCAACATCTGGTCAAATGGTATTTGACGTGGGATCCATGAGATGAGGTAAATTTTGTGCATCAACTTCCTTCACTCTCGACAGGAGAGTGGGGAGTGGAAGCTGGGTCCTGCCCCTCAGAGAGACCAGCTGGTGGAGGGCTCTGCACTGGGGGTGCCCCGGGATGAGGTAGGACTTGGTGAGCAGTGAGAATTGCCGCTGCTGCTGCTGCTGGTGCTCTGAGGAGTAGACCCTGCGATGAGGTGAACCACAGGCTTCTGGGCAAACAGCACACCTGGGGTGGGGAGGAGAAGCAAGCATGAACAGATGAGAGGAGAAGCGGCGGTCCCGTTGATTCCCACTGATTCACTGCTGCCCAACTGTGCAAGGATCCACTCTGGGCATCGGGCCTGGTGCCGACAGAAGTCCCAAACATTGTCTTGCTTTCAAGTGCTTATAGGCTGGTGAGGAGGACACACAGGTGGGCAGAGTAATTTTGCTGAAATGTCACAAATGCTCTGAGGGAAGTGTCCCCAGGGTGTCGTCAGACCAACAAGGTTTTGGAGGGCAGGAGATAATTGCTCAGGAAAGGCTCCAGGGGAAGGCTATGCCTGGACTGTTAGAAAGTGGCCAAATGAAGAAGGGAAATGGTGTGCCAGGCAAAGGGAACCTGAGAGAACAAAGAGCAGAGAGAGGTGGCAAATGTGCTGGAAGCCACGCGGTCATGTGGTCTGACTACAGTGTGGAGGCAGATGTGGCTGCAGAGATGGGAGGGCAAGGTAGTGGAGGTCTGTATGCTCCTAAGGAAGCCCAGGTCCCACCTTGTAGGTATCATGAAACCCCTCAAAGTTTTGTGATTTTTTAAAAATTTTTTTCTTTATTGATTTTTAGAGAGAGGAAGGGAGAGGGAGAGAGAATAGAAACATCGATGAGAGAGAACATCGATTGGCCGCCTCCTCCTGCATGCCCCCACTGGGGGATCGGGCCCACAACCTGGGCATGTGCCCTGACCGGGAATCGAACCAGTGACCTCTTGGTGCATGGGTTGGTGCCCAACCACCAAGCCACACCGGCTGGGCAAAGTTTTTTTTTTTAATTCCTCACCAGAGGATACTTTTCTATTTATCATCAGCTAGAATGGGAGGGAGGGAGAGAGAGAGAGACATCGATGTAATAGAGCCACATCAACTGGTTGCCTCCCACATGACCTGACCACATACCACAAGCGAGGTACGTGCCCTTGGCCAGAATCAAGCCTGTGACTCATTGGTCTGTGGGCCGACGCTCTACCACTGAGCCAAACCAGCCAGGTCTAAAATTTTAAGAAGGGAGGGACCTCATGATATATGCATTTTAGAATGCTCTCTGTGGAGTTGGGAGGAATATGGGCAATGGAGGCTTGCAATGGAGCTGAGAGGCTTGACCCAGGGCACTGGCAGCAAGGATTGCTCATAGTGAGGTCTGCTCAGCTCTGGGGGGTCAGGATGGGCATGAGGGGCTTTCAGGAATGACTTTCAGGTTCCTGGCCTGGTGACTGCAAACCCACTGAGAAAGGCACTGGTGGAACAGGGACTGAGGCAGATGAGGTTTGGGGAGTTTTCAACTCTCTTCTGAGTGCTCCCCAGTCTGACAAAGAAAGAGGCGTTATCTCCTCTTTTCTCCTAATAAAGGACAAAAGGATGTGGAGATCAGGCCCCAATGTCCTCCTTCCCTACTTTCTCCGTGAATCCATGTCAACCCCCAAACCTCCTAGACCATTACAGCAACACCAGAAGGCAAAGAGCACCCAGACCCTACCCACGGGCTCTCCCGGACCCCCGCGGGCCCCCCAGGCGAGGGATGTGGCCTCTGAAGCACTGGCTGTGCCGTGACTGGTGAGGCAGCCTGGCGCCGCTGCTTCTCTGCATGCTGCTCCCAGGAGCTGTCCCTTCCCAGCCCCACACTGAGGCCCAAGCAGGGAGTCTAGCAGAGCCAGAGGCCTACAGAGTGATGCCCTGAAGGGTCTTGCCCCTAGAACAGAGGCATTCAAAAGGCCAAAAGCATGCCCTGAGGAAATGCCCCCAATTTGGTGGAAAGGGCACTTCCCACACCCTCAATAAAACAGGAGGCCGATGCCAGGGCTCCTGGCAGAGGGGCACTGGCTACAGTGCCCGGGCTCTTTAGCTCCAATTTATCAAGCTGTGCTTAAAAAGAGTCACCTGGGTTTGTCCCCAAACTCATCCCTAAACCAATAAAACAGGAGCAAAGAGGACTGCTGCTATGAAAACTAAGCTGACCATCCTGGGAAGACTTGGTACAGGTGCTAAACCAACCAACAAACCAACCGACCAACCACCACTGCGAAATTAGACTGAGGGAGAGACAACTGTAACGATGGGAAAAAATCATAAACATAGATTCTGCTGCACTCAGATCCCTTTGCTGTGTCTGTTCTTGATCCACTGTAAAGAAAAGGAATGACAGAAGTTTGCAAAGAGAATAGTTGGAGCAAAAAGAAAGGAGGCCCATGGGTTAGAAGACCATAATGGTGGACTTGGAATACAGTTTAAAGCATGGATATAGAACTGATTATGATTCTTCACATTAAAAGACTTTTTCAATGAGCAAGCCAACCCTTGGTCCAAAAAGGTTCAGCATAGGGTTTCTATCATTTTGTCAAAGTTGGAGGGGGATCTGTCATCAGTCATCATGTCAGCCATCCTCAGCCTCTACTAGTCCAGAAGAACCACTTTACCTGTGGAACCTTAAGACTACTTCAAAGGAAGCCACCCCCAGGAAGGTGTGTAGACAGGAGGGTGACAAGTGGGGCCTGTCAGGCAGCTGCACTGAGGCTGCCACCACACTGTGGCCCTCCCATGAAGCTCCAAGGGCCTCACCTGCATAGGTGGTGCCATCGATGTCCACAGACATGTTAATGCTCCCGATGCCACCTGTGGTCAGATTCAGTGCTGTAGCCGAGGCCTCTGATCTGTCTTCTGCTGGGACAAGGGAGACAGTGGGCCTGGTCAAGCCTCTGGCACTGCTGCTGTCCTTTCCGAGGCTCTCCCATGACCCTGGTCTGGCCACAAGCAGGCTGAGGCCCACTGTTAGAAAGCATCTCGATAACTTTCTCCTGCGCATAGGTGGGGCAGGAGGACTCAGGCTTGCTAACGTCCTATTGCTTGCTTTCTCCACTGAGCCGCTTCACCTCTCCAACCCACTCGACTGAAGAAAAAAGGGATTACCATCAGCAAGGAGGCTGCCTTGCTGTATGCTGGTACTTTCAATGCAATTTGGCTAACTTCACCGAGCACCCACTATCCATCAGCTGGGGAACCAGAGATCAGGAAGATCCAGTCTCTGCCTTCACCAAGCTGGGAGGTTCTCAAGGAGAGGTCTATCTGCCCAGCACCTGGTACTCCATCTCAGTCTGGGCATCTGGGGCTTGGGGAAGGTCTCTGCACAGCTCACCTCTGCCCATTTATCAAGCACAGGGCCCAGAATTCATCCAGGTGAGTTGCCTGTTCTGTTAGTCTCTGGCTCGTGCAGGACCTGGGCACTTGGCCTTGAATGGGTAACAGAACAGAGCCCTGTTGTCTGGGCTGTCACCTCCAGCTTCCTTCTGCTCCTCACCCAGGAGAAGGTGGGATAGGGATTGGCTGTGTGGGAATATGACAGCTTCCTCCATACCTGGTTTCTTCCCCACACATGCTTATTTCATGTTTGTTCTGAGACAGCATGAAGGGCAAGAATGGCAAAGAAAATGTGTGTGAGGAGGGGATGGGGTGGGGAGAGGAACAAGGGACATGAAGTGTGTGGGTCGGGTGACATGAAGGTGGGGTACCTGAAAAATGCAGAGAGGAAGGAAAAGGATGTCAATTATGCTGCCAGACGTGTGTTTCCTCCTTCCCACTTGTTCTGAGGGACACCGGCAGCCTGGCCAGAGGCAACCTGGCCCCTCACTGAGCCTCAGGACTAGAGGTGCTCAGTTTCTCCCAGACCTGCCCTGAGCTGGCCTGCCTCCCTACATCCGGTAAGGTACTAGTGAAGGCAGAGCCCTTTAATTTAGACAGATCAAAAGGCTGGTGGGGGAGAGAAATACAGCTACTGTTCCTGAAGGTCTCTGGTTCCTCCCCGTTGAACACTGCTTCTTCTTTTTGCTAGAGAATAGGGCACTGCTAGAGGTAGTTTCTGGTCCTCTAGAAAATGAGCTCAGCTTGTGAACTGTGTTCTCAGTGGCCACAGAAGCCCCATGTGGTTTTCTGGCCCCTAGGCCCTTCTGGGGACCTGGGGGCAGAAGATGGAGGAGCTCCATCCCGGTCCTGGGGGTTGTAAATGGGCCCTGGATGGAGGGTGGCTCGACACTCACCCCTGCCGTTGACCCGGATCTTCACGGGCAGCTGCCGTGCCATGCTGAAAAAGTTGCGCTGGAAGGCCTGCTGCACGAGGCGCTGCTCCTCCTCTGACAGCTTGGATGCCTTCTTCTCAGGGGGCTCTCCTGACTCTAGCTGTTCTCGCAGCTGCTCCAATGTGGCCATGCGAGTGCCGGCCTGCTGGCCTGCCAAGGTCACAGGCACAGCCAGACGATTTGGCACAGGTACTGTTGTCACCGGGACTCCATCACCTGGCAAAGGCACCAGAGCTAGACCAATCCACAATCTACCCTCCCACTCAGGTCCCACAGAAACCTGGCTCCATTCCTCCCTCCTCCCCCACAGCCCTGCAGACCTTTCCTGAGAGCAGTTGCTGGGGATATCCGAGGGTTGCTAGCACTGGTGCCACTGTTGGAGCCCAACCCAAGGATGGGGAAGCGGACCTTGGGTGTGGAGAGAAGGGCAGGGGCTCTGGTGGCAGCAGGAGTCACAGAGGGTGAGTAGCCAAAGAGGGAGGAGCTGTAGCTGGGCCGCCGGCCCTCCCGCCGGTTGCCATCAATGGCTGCCTGGAGCTCAGCTGGGGAGCTCAAGGCTTTCTTCTCACACTCGTAAGCATAGAGGTATTTCATGTACCTGGAGGGAAGGAAGGAAGCAAGAAATAGGAATCCAAAACATGGCGCCAGCCCTAAGTTGCTGGGTCTATGGAAGCAGCCTCTGCGGACAGGCCTCTAGGACAGAGGACCACCACCTGCTGCACTGACGGAAGAGAAAAGTCCGGACTGCTGACCACCCTGACATGGGCCCCTCTAATAACTACTTATTTCTGAGCCCTGCCCAAAGTGGAGGCACCATTCACTAAGGTAAATAAGGGACAACTCCCTAATGCTTCATGATCATTTTGGCACCTTTTTAGTGCCCTGGGAGAAATCAGGCCCATGCTGTGACATGACTGTCTGGCTCCTGATCTAACCATCCCAAGTCAGGCTGGTCAGGCAGGGGCACTTCTTCTCATTGGGTGTCAGATGTCCCAGGAAGCAATTCCCACCCAAGAACCCTGAAAGATCTGCTATAATGGTTATAGCTCTGCCCCCACTTCTGCTGCAACAGTTCCAATAGATAAACCCCTTCTACTTTTCAACAAGGACATGACATGCTACCTAAATGATATATCAGTTGCTCATTCCATATTCTTCACAGAGCAACTTCCAGAATGTTACAAAAGAAGAGAATCCCCTCTGGCTTTCATTCTCAATTACTGCTCATTGTTTCAGTTTCTCTCACCCTTGTAATTAACTCAAATGGTAACAAAAATCATTCACCGACCCCAGCGGTGCCTGATCGCCTGTCTTTCCCCAGGTTCCATGTTGCTGGGCAAGTTGAGTGTCAGGAAGAAAGGGCCAGGCTTAGGTTGGAGGTGTGGTGTGGGAGACAGAATCCTGGAGAGAGTGTGGATTTCAGGGACGGAGGCCCACATGGGAATCTCACCTCCACCACTTATAGCTGGTATGACCTTCACCAAATGATTTAACCTCTGAGACTTAGCTTTGGTAATCTGAAAAATGGGAATGACACCTACTTTACAAGGTTGACAGTGAGGTTTGAAGGCAACAGAATGGTGAAGTAGCAGCACATATGCCACACGGCTCTCATCTCTACTTCAGTCTAGCAAGGGATGAACTCAGAAGGCTCCCAACTATCTCAGGAATTTTATTCCTTTCTATCCTCTAAGTTAAAACATCCTCTTTCTCCAATCTCAGACTCCTTTCCCCAAGGTCCTGGCCACTCACTGGGTCCTCAGGGTGAAGGCAGCACTGGTGATGGACGTGGGCAGGTTCAGGCCTTTGGTGATCTCCCTCCAGATCTTCTTGTTGATGATCTCCACCAGGCCCCCCTTTTCCGTCACCAGCTTATACAGCATATACAGGTCCAGGATCTGCTTGGCCATGATAGGGATTCGGTTGATGGGGGTCCCTGTGATTATCCAGAGAGAGACACAGGGCTGCATCATCCTCAAGCAGAGAAAAAAAGGTATCTGTGCATGCCCACTTTTTGTTCAGTTGGAAATATGTTCACAAATCTGCTTAGCGTAATTTAACTAAAACTCCTAAAGCCCGGGAGCTATCAGACTAGCTGCTACTTCTCTTGGGATGAACAGAAAGACAAGGCCTACTCACAGGCTCGATAGCCTTGGGTAAAACACACAGCTTCTCTGGGTCTGTTTTCCCACCTACAAATAAGAGGGTTGGACTAGATTTTTTCCCTGGCAGTACTGAGTCCAGATTCTTTTCTAATGATGTGGCAACTCACTCCCCTCTGCAGCCTTCATGTAGCAGCCAGCCCCCTTCTCAAGGAAGCCTTCCCTGAGTCCCTCAACGGGAGCTCCTGCTCGGCTCATCCACCTGGTAACTAACCGCTTGCTTCTTCCACTCCTGCTTTACCAGAGAGAAATTGGCTTTTCTCTGCTATGTCCCCACCGTATCAAAGGAGCTGCAGGAAACACAGGTTTCCAAGGGAGTGAAAAGCTACTTAACAATTCTCTCCTCACTAATCACTCCAACCCCTCTCTGGCCTTTGAAAGGGAGGGGCGGGTCAAAGCAGCTTCCGACCCCTGGCCCTGAAGGGAAGAGAGAGGAGCCAAAGCTGTGACTAGGAAACCTGGCACCAAGCAGGAAGGCCCACTAATGAGCACCAGGGGATACAGGGAGGGTGGGGCCAACTGCCTTTCACAGGCGCTGGTCAGGAGGCGTGATGGATGACCGTCATTTGGCAACCTTCAGATTAATGATGTGGAGGTCAGAGGGGAGAATTCCAAAGGGAAGGGTCATGGTCCAGGGCAGGGTATGAGACTTGTTGCCTTTTAATGGTAAACTCCTGTACTGTACACTCGCCGCTGCTCCTCCTCTAGCCCCTCCCACGGTCCCAATCTCACTGCCTGCCTGTGGATGTCAGGCCAGACTGACTAGAAGGGCTGTTTGTTTCTGTTCCTCCTGCTTCTTTCCCCTCAAGGAATGGCGTTCTCTCCTCAGTCCTGGAATGTTGGCCTCATAAACTCTCTTACAGGATAATTCAAGCCAGAGAATGGAGTGAAGTCTCTTACATTTATAAAGAGGAAGCAGCATGAGCATGAACAAGTGGGACTGCTCTGGCAGGACCATCTCTTTTTCAGTGTGGGGAGGGAGCTTGAGGCCTCCCAAGCCTTTGTCTTGACCAGCTGGTCATTGGAGGGTCAAGGACAAAGAGATGACAGAGTTAGATTCAAAGACTCCGGTAAACTTTCAAGGATTGCTGGCATACTCCTAAGACATGGCTTGTATGTTGATTAACTTCTCTCTGCGCTGTACTGGCCCTGAAGGGAAGACGAGAGCATGACGCAGCACAACAGGACAGGACCAAGGTCCAGCTCCTTTTGGAGGCCTGTCTGCCTGAGCAAATGAAAGGCCTCGGCAAGTTCACACCCTACATGGCATTGCCGCGAGACTCTAGGAACACCACTCCCAAGATCTCACACAGGCTCCCACTAAGCTCACATTTCTAGAAGTTTCCAGGACATCTTCACATGTGTGACATGTTCACTCCACATCACAGTGTTTGCATTGAGCTCACTTTTATCCTCTAAGCTAGCTCTCTTTTCCCATTGCTTCCTTCCTCCAACAACATCATTCTTTGAGGTTTTAGGCAGGAAGCTCAGAGGCAGCAATGACTCCTCTTCTCTCTATCACCAACCTGTAGGTTGTTAGGAAGCTCCACTAATTCTTTCTTTGAGGTACCTCGCACAGGTGTCTTCCTTTCCAGCCTGCAGCCACCATGCTGGACCAGGCCCTCGCTGCCTCGTAACTAGATCCATGCACTCGACCTGCACACTTTCACCGTATTACTCACCTCCTCTTTATAAACCTGCAAAGACTCTTATTGCCTACCCGTCCCACCCCACATGCTCAATCTCATGATCAAGTTTCCCAACACCCCATAAAAGATCATGTACTATTTCCAGCACATCGTAACCACTCACTCCTCCAATTAGTTGGGTCTCCTCACGATCACCTTCAAAACCAAGCTCATTTCTCCTCTTACCTTTTGCTTTGTGCTACCTCCTCATCAAGATTAAAGTGACCTGCCTCTGCTCAAACCTTCTCCACACTGGCCTTCAATGTTCACAGTCTCCAGGAAAAATTATCTAACTGCCTCAATTCATATGGATGTCTTCCCTTTCAGAATTTCTATTATAATCCCTCCAAGTTCAGCAAATAATTACTTTCTCATTGTTTTGTGTGTGTTCATCTGGTGCCCCAGGAGGACTCTAACTCTCTGAAGGCAGCCATTGTTTCTCCTTCACCATGGCTTGAATATTATAATGTTTAATAAACTAAACTACCACGCAGATTTTTTAAAAAAAGCTTCGCCCGACAAGTGTGGCTCAGTGGTTGAGTGCTGACCCACACACCAAGAGGTCACCAGTTCGATTCCTGGTCAGGGTACATGCCCAGGTTGTGGGCCAAATCCCCAGTGGGGGACATGAGGGAGGCGGTCAATTGATCTCTCTCATCGATGTTTCTCTCTCTCTCCCCGTCTCCCTTCCTCTTTATCTCAAATAAATAAAGAAAAAAATATTTAAAAAAAACAACAAAAAACTTCTCAGTCAAAGCAATCAGCTCCATGATAACCAAACTGGGAACCTCCACTAGCTTTAAGTGTCTAATGCTGTTTAATGCTGATTGCCCTGAAAGAAGTCACCTTCAGCACTCACACCCTAAAAGGTTCATCATTATTATTATTTTATAAATGTTTTTATTGATTTTTTAGAGAGAGAGAGAGAGAAACATTGATGTGAGAGGGATACATCAATCAGCTGCCTCCTGCATGCCCCATGAAGCCCGCAACCCCGGCCTGTACCCTGACTGGGAATCGAACTGGGGCCCTCTCAGTCCATGGGACAATGCTCCGTCCTCAGCACCACACCCGCCGGGCAGAAGGTTCATTATTAAACAGACTAGGGAACTGAGGCTCAGAGTGGTCAAGCTCTTTGCATCCAAGTTCCATAACAAGATGATGAGCAGCAGAAGAAATGGCTGGAGAATTGGAGATTTTGAGAGGGTAAAGAAAATACAATTTCAGCCCGGTCACTGTGGCTCGGTGGTTGAGCATCGACCCATGCACCAGGAGGTCACTGGTTCAAATTCTGGTCAAGGCACATGCCTAGATTGTGGGCCCAGTCCTCAGTAAGGGGCATGCAGGAGGCGGCCAATTGATGTTCGCTCTCATCAATGTTTTCTCTCTCTTCTTCTCCCTTTCTCTCTTTAAAATATCAATAAAGAAAAATATATATATATATATATAACTAACTTCGCTCAGTGGGGCCAAAGAGAAGGGGAAACAGCTGTTAAAGAAGGGAAGTTGGCTGGGTCTGTGATGTGTGCAGAGCAGGCGTGTCCTGCAGGGCTTATCCAGCTGAGAGAGTGCTATCCTTCCGAATAGTCACCTTAGAGCGACAGCTACCACAAGGTTTTGGAGCTCCATTTGTGAATAGCTTTCAGAGTTCACACTATTTTCATTTGAGTCTCTCTAGTGGTTGGTAAGTCAAATATAAAGGGTGTACTTTACTTCTAGAAGTGGTCATGCATGGAGGCAGGCCAGCAGAATAGATGAAGTGACTGCTTATACTGATTTTTGGCCATAAACCAAGAGATTTTCTAGTGTGGCTCAAACTGCCTCTGAAGTCCAACACTCCAGAAAGAAATTGTAAATTCACTCTGAATAGTCACTGCACTATATGTCTAGCCACCAGAGATGACTTCTTTAAAAGACAACAATGTTATAGATATAAAAATGTCATTTAAAATCCACCTTTTAATTGTCATACAGAGTGTGACTGCATTAGGCTGAGAAGTGCTCCGGGGCAAAGGAAACAAAAGGTCTCTACAGGACCTGAGAAGGCAAGGAAGGCTGTAAACCTAAGCAGAGAAGCCACAGACTGTGGGTGCACTGTAACCCTGGTGGTGGTCCTCACAGTCCTGCTCTGGCCCAGCCTTACTCTGGACAAACGGGGATCTTTGTTCCCTCACACGGGCTCCTGTCATTAGTGGATGAGGGAAAGGGGTGCATTCTTCGTCTTGGTTGGCCCTCAGCAAAACAGCTAAAAGTAGCTCCCAGCGCAGGTGGGCACCCTAGAACTGTGAGAAACAAAGCTGAGACTATTCTAAACGCTAGCTATGGATGACGATCTGTGTACACCCCAAATAATCCAGGCACACATCCTGTCCTGGCTTCATTCTCCTGACAACTAAGAGGGAGGCAAGATCCTCAGGCTAGCCCTAGCCCTAGCAGGTTTGGCTTAGTGGTTAGAGCATCAAGCCTGCGGACTGATGAGTCATCACAGGTTCGATTCTGGTCAAGGGCACGTATCTCTGTTGCAGTTCGGTCCCTAGCCCCGGTTGGGGTCATGTGAGAGGCAGCCAACTGATGTGTCTCTCTCACATCAATGTCTCTCTGTCTCTCTCTCTCCTCCTCCTCCTCCCACTCTATCTGAAGATAAATGGAAAAATATCCTTGGGTGAGGATTAAAAAATAAATAAAACAAGTTTTTCATGTAGGATGTATATATATATGAGGTCACTTAATAAAATATTAAAAACAAGAAAAGATCCTCAGGCTACTCTGTCTCTGCAGTCTGCTCTGTGCCTAACGGACCTGGGAAGCCATTTCCTTTGTCTGAAGGAGACTTAACCATGACAAGAGAGGGGGAGTGGCCTTTTAGCTGAGTTTAACCTCTATGATTAAAAGACAAAAATACATTATACTGGGGTGGGGTGTGTGTGGGGGTGGGAGCGTGACATATTCATGTCTCAGTTTCTCCATCTGTGAAATGAGGATTTTAGATTAAATGACTTTCAGTTCTAAAGTCCTATGAGACTATGAATAAAAACTTACAACAAAAATTGATGGTCGTGCCCTGTCCGGTTTGGCTCAGCAGTTGG